GTCCGTTTCTTGTTTAATAGCAGTCCCTGAGTGTGTTTAATCACAGCTTCTATGGTCGGTTTGCTAGCAGGTGTTTTGCATGGCTTCTTGCATGGGTCTGTGGTTCGCTGGCCGAGTCTCTCCGTGTCCAGGGCTTCCTGCGGCCCAGCCCGCCGCGAGGACTGGGAGACTCGCCCGGCGGGCCCGCACTTTTTGGTTGGCGGGTTTTCTGAAGTCCCCCTTTGCTTGCAGGTTCCGTAAAGGGCGGAGGACCTGGAGGCGCCTGGAGGACGCGACTGCGGAGCGGACGAGGACGCCGGCCCTGGGGCCCAAGGGGGTGGAGTGGCGACGCGGGACCGCCGCGGCGGGCGGAACGCTGGCACGGGCTTGTTTACTTGCAGACATAATAAGCGGTTGATCCTATGTGCCTAAAGAGCCTACAGTAAAAGAGGCGCCACGGTCACGTGACTTGCTTGCCTCTGATTGGCTTGGTTCAACTGGGGCTCGCAGCGTGCCGCCACTTTTCTCATACGTAGGGAAGACGGTGCGACGGCGACGCGACGGCGGCTGATGGGGCTGGACGTTTGCAGACAATGTGCGAAACGAAGTATTTTATCGCGAAGTAAAACCCCGTAGGCTTTTTGGGAATGCTTATGTGGTAAAGAGACTCGGTGGAGCGGGCATGTTTGCAGTAGGTCAGTGGTTGTTTTCCCATGTATTGTGGCCAACTCGTACGTGAACCTGGGAGGTTAAACGTCTCATTCTTTGTTTGTTTTTCTTGTATTCAACGTGTTGCAGGTTCGATTTAAAATGGTAGCGTGCTGTGTGCCGTTCTGCCGGAACTCGGCTCGCCAGTGTTCCAATTTTATTCCTGTGTCCTGTCCCCAAAAGCAAGAAGCTGCGGGCGATATGGGCCCAAGTTATATCTTCTCACTGGGGTGTGTCCCCTGTCATGTCTGCTAAGTCACAATTTGTTCTGTGAGTTGGTATATGTTATTATGTTGTATGTTTTTAAATTGTGCACGGACACTTTAACTTATTTTGAAACCTGTGTTGTTTGTGGCAGGAACTTTTTGGATTTGATCAATGGACTCGCAAAGCGCACAAGTTAAAGCCCAATGCTGTGCCGAGGAAATTTAAACTTTGCATCAGTAAATACTGGAAGATGTTGTGCTATTTCAAAGCAAAGAAGCCAAATTAGGGGGCCATAGGACTAAGTCTGCACTACCATGTTGTCTATTTTTGATCGGTTGAGCGAACCCGGGGGTTGAGCTGAACTCAAGTGACGGGTCTTCTCATAAACAAGGCTGCCTGTTGCAACAGTATTACAATGAGCATGATGATCAGAAGCAGCTCAAAATTATGGAGTATGCAAGAGATAGGAATGTTGAGCTGAGAGAACAGATTGCGGCTATTCAAGCTAAGTTGATTTCTTTGGGCGCTTCCTAAAGAATGCCTTAGCCTGCGTGTAACCTCAAACACTGCTTTAAGTATGTGTTTGGGGTAAATAAAATGCTGAGCTAAGAGAACAGATTGCCGCTTTTCAAGCTAAGTTGATTTCTTTGGGCGCTTCTTAAAGGATGCCTTAGTCTGCGTGTAACCTCAAACACTGCTTTAAGTATGTGTTTGGGGTAAATAAAATGCTGAGCTAAGAGAACAGATTGCCGCTATTGAAGCTCAGTTTATTTCTTTGGGCGCTATTTAATTGCCCTGGTCTGCGTGTGACCTCAAACACTACTTTGAGTACGTGTTGGGCTAAGAGAAAAGATTGTGTCTATTCAAGCTAAGCTGACTTATTGGGGCGCTATTTAATGAATGCCTTGGTGTGTGTGTAACCTTAAACACTGCTTTGAGTGTGTGTTTCAGGTGGATAAAATGAAAGATGCAAATGATTGTATACATGCTTGACAAATAAAGGTTTAATTTTACTATTCTGTCTCTGTACTTAAAACATCTTACCTTCAGAAAATGTGTCATGGAAACATACTAAATAGTACTGCTATGTACAAAACCATTTAATTCTCTCAAATATAATCGTAGGCTCGGCTCTTTACGTGCAGCCTAAAAGCCTAGCCTAACAAGTGTTTTCCGTGGACCGCGGTTCAAATTCGTCTGCTAGACAGACAGATGCGCATCGGTATGAGAAACGGAGCGCTCGCCTAGCGTCCCCAGTTGAACCAGACCCCCCACCACAGCCGCCCGTGGCGCCTCTTTTACTGTAGGCTCTTTATATTTGCCGACACACTTCGTCGAAGTTCAGCCAGTGTAGAGTTCAAGACCAGAGAAGTGCAGCAGCTTTTTTGTGACAGTTGAGGGACGTTTCACTGTAAAACCAAACGTGGACCACTCCTTCAGTCTCCACACTTGGAAGTGCAGAGTTTGCAGCCTCCACACTTCAAACGTGGAGTTGTCCACGTTTGCACCATGCAAAGAGATAAGGGCTTTGTGAGCTACTCCACACTTCAAGCGCGGAGGCTGCGTACTCTGCACTTCCAAGTGCGGACACTTACTCCACACCAGGAAGTGTGGACTTGTCCACGTTTGATTTCACAGTGTAGACACCGCACCAACGTTTTACAAGCAACGCGTTTTACAAATGAGGCGATCTGGCCATGACATATGAACTTCTAGCACACTGCTTTACCGCTTTCAAGAAATATTGCCAAGGTGTTGGCTTGATTCAGCAACTTTCTTCTGTACTTTCTAAAACACACCCGAAGACATTTCTCTGTGATTTCCAATCAGCAACGTGCGTGACTTCCATGTTTCTTAAGCATTACGTATGAACCTGCGTTCGAAGGGCCTGGAAATTGTCTTTTTTCATTTCCAAGTGAGTGCCAAGGGCGGCTCAGTAACGCGTTGTTGCTTGCAGGCGCCGTGATGGGCGAGGACCTGGAGGCCCCCGAGTCTGGAGGGCGGCACTGCGGAGCGGACGGCGACTCTGGAGGCGAAGGTGAGTGGAGTCTTGGCGGAGCAGTCCGGGATGCCGCGGCCTGCTGGGGTGGACGTAGATTCAATTGCAATTAAAAACATTCGTAAGCTTTATGCAATGAGGTAAAGTCCAGTTGCACTACTGAGGGCTTGAGAGGCTGACGAGCTCTTTGCCTGTACGACCTTTCTTTCGGTGATACATCTGTGTACGACCTTTTTCCGGTGATACATTTGTGGACGACGTGTTTTTCTGTGATACATTATAGTATCACCCTGTTTCGGTGAGACATTTCTCAGAGTGGTTGCATTTTCAGTGCGGTTGTCTTCTTTCTCAGGATAGGCACTTCTCGTTGTCCTTCGCTCACCCGTTTTGCACCCGTTTTCACAGTAAAAACTCTACGAAGAACCGTTTCGTAATACGAAGAAAAAGCCTTCATTTTCTTCGTAGTTATGAAGCAAATCCTTCGTAGGCTTGAGAGAGTGTTGGTGTTGCAGGCCCCGTCCCGGCGGAGACCCCGCAGCTGGTCATCAGCGGCACCTTCTCGCTGGCTGGCCCGGCCGGCGGTGCGGGGCAGGTGGAGCAGGCCTCGCGGCGGCAGCGAGGCGGGAAGGCGCGGCTCGCGTACAAGTGCGGGGAGTGCGGCAAGAGTTTCCGGGCCGAGGCGGACCTGCGGAAGCACCTGGCGGGGCACTCCAAGGCGGGGCGGCACGCGTGCGGAGTGTGCGGCAAGCAGTGGACTAAGGCTAAGGATCTGGAGAGGCACGCAAGGATCCACACCGGGGAGAGGCCGTACCAGTGTGACGAGTGCGGGAGGAAGTTTATTCAGGATTCTGATCTTACAAGGCACAAGAGGATCCACAGTGGAGAGAAGCCGTACCAGTGTGACGTGTGTGGAAAAGAGTTCAATCAGAGCGGAACCCTCACTTTGCACAAGAGGATTCACACTGGAGAGAAGCCCTATGAGTGCAAAATGTGCGCGAAGAAGTTCTCTGATCCCTCAGTTCTACGCCGCCACAAGGGCATTCATGCTGGACAGTAACTTTGGGATAAGCTGTGCTAGTGTGTCGTTTCTTGCTTAAGGCTTTGGAATATGTCGTGTGTATAACGTACTTTCTTTTGATATATCATTTCATGCTCGTGAAAGCTATCAGCTACTAATTTTAGTTTAATTTTGCAAAGTCTGTAATCTTGTTTAACTATTCCCTCCTTTCTTGTATTTTTGTGTCATGTAAATAATGTTCGTTGATGATAATCAGTTGTAATCATAAGTGCTTTTCTCTTTTGAAGACTTCGGTTTTTGTGAAGGTTATTCGGTTCAAGCTGTTCAAATCAAACACGTGTACTCGCTCTAAGTTGTGATGTCGCTCGGCTTGACTGTTTGGTGAAAGAAGCCTTATTTGTAAAGTTTTGTCAGAGTCCACTTCGGTATGTAAAACATTTCTCGAAGTGTTTTCGAGTATACCGAAGCACCGTCGTGCAGTACTTTGGAATCTGTTACAACCGTTTTTATGTTGTCAATTGTTTTTTTGCTGCCAACTCCTGCTGCAGTAATTTTTTTCCTGTTTGTGAGTTCCGTCCTGTACTGGTGTGATAAGTGAACACATGTGCCAAGTGCAGGAGCCACATTTCTTGCGAAGTGTAAAGGCTTTGGAGTGTGTTGGGGCAGAAAGAGGTTCCCTCCGAATTTTAATTCCATGCTCGTAACAACTTTGAGTTCATAATTTTTGGTTGTACTCCAGTAAAGTGTGTTGTCTTGGTAGAGCTGCCGAACTGAACTTCTGCGAAGTTCAGAAGTGTTAAAAGCCTTGTTCTTTTCTTGTTTTTTTCTTTTGTGTCGAATAACAAAGTATTTATTGATGAAAATATAGGTCACTAACGTATCTAATTTTTATTGGGAACAATTCTGTTTTTGCTACAAGGTTTTACGGTTGAAGTTGTTTAAACAAATGCCTGGGCTCGCCAAAAATAAGGAAGTCCTTCGTCTTGTTGTTGTTGATTAGCATCGTGTTAGAATCCCGAAATAAATAAAAACATTTTCGACGTGTTATCGCGCATTCTAAGAGTACCGTCGTGCTGTACTCTGTTATCTGTTCCAGCCGTTTTCATGATGTCAATTTCTTGCTGCTTTTGCCGTTATCTCTCAGACTTCTTTTTCTGCATTCTGTCTAATATTTGCTTGCTGTTTCAGGACTAGGGCCGCGTGCGAGCGTAGAAAGATCGCCGACTTCCTTTCACACTTCGGTGGCTTTTTCCGAGCATGCGCCTCACAGTGTTAACGAGCCTTCATTAGTGTTCAGAGCAGTGCAGTATAATTTGTACCTAATTATTTGAAGTGAATAAAAGTCTGATAATTGCTGTCCCTTTCTTGTTTAATAGAAATAATCGAGTATGTTCAATTACAACTTCTATGGTAGTTATGCTGGGCAGGTGTTTTGCATGGCTTCGTGCATGGGTTGGCCGTGGCGTGTTCCTGTGGTTCGCTGGCCGAGTCTCTTCGCGTCCACGGCTTCCTGCGGCCCAGCCCGCAGCGAGGACTGGGAGACTCGCCCGGCGTTGGCCGCACGTTTTGGCTGGCTGGTTTCTGAAGTCCGCCTTGCTTGCAGGTTAAAGGCTTAGGAGTGTGATGGGGGCAGAAAGAGGTTCTTTCCGAAATTTTATTCTATGCTCGTAACAACGTTTAGTTCATAATTTTGGTTGTACTACAGTAAAGTGTGTTGTCTTGGTAGAGCTTCCGTTAAGTTCAGGAGTGTATAAAGCCTTGTTCTCTTCTTCCTTTTTTTGTGAACAAAGTATTTTTTTATGAAAATGTGAGTCACTAACGTATGTAGTTTTTATTGTGAACAATTCTGTTTTTGCTAAGGTTTTACGGTTGAAGTTGTTTAAACAAATGCCTGGGCTCGCCAAAAAATAAGGGGTCCATCGTCTTGTTGTTGTTGATTAACATCGTGTGAGAATCCCGCAATAAATAAAAACATTTGTCGACGTGTTCGCGCATTCTAAGATTACCGTCGTGCTGTACTCTGTTATGTGTTCCAGCCGTTTTCATGATATCAATTTTTCTCTTCGACTTCTGTTTCTGCATTCTGTCTAATATTTGTGTGCTGTTTCAGGACCAGGGCCGAGTGCGAGCGTAGAAAGATCGCCGACTTCCTTTCACACTTCGGTGGCTTTTATCGAGCATGCGCCTCAGTGTTAACGAGCCTTCATTAGTGTTCAGAGCAGTGCAGTATAATGTGTACCTCATTATTTGAAGTTAATAAAAGTCTGATTATTAGCTGTCCGTTTCTTGTTTAATAGCAATACCTGAGTATGTTCTATTACAGCTTCTATGGTAGGTATGCTGGGCAGGTGTTTTGCATGGCTTCTGGCATGGGTTGGCCGTGGCGTGTTCCTGTGGTTCACTGGCCGAGTCTCTCCGTGTCCACGGCTTCCTGCGGCCCAACCCGCCGCGAGGACTGCGAGACTCGCCCGGCGATGGCCGCACGTTTTGGCTGGCTGGTTTCTGAAGTCCGCCTTGCTTGCAGGTTCCGTGAAGGCGGAGGACCTGGAGGCGCCTGGAGGACGCGACTGCGGAGCGGACGAGGACGCCGGCCCTGGGGACCAAGGTGGGTGGAGTGGCGACGCGTGGACCACCGCGGCGGGCGGAACGCTCGCACACTGCCGTCACTACTTGAGCACGTCGTCGGTTGAGCTCAACACCTACCCGTTGCTTTTCACTGTATGAATTTTGAGTACATTTGTAGCTTTTCCATTGAAACGCAGCACAAATTAACGGGAAACGTTGCCGCGAACCGTATGTGCGTGAATCGTGCGAACATGTTCGTTTCGAACCTCTATGGTCCCTCACTCCGTCGCTACTGTGTCTTTCAATCGAATCCTGTTGGACTCCTCTTCACTGAGATTCCAAATGCTTTAAATATAGCACGCATATTGCAATGCTCTGAGATATCGCACCATATGCACAATGCCACAGCCATATTGCGCCTCACGTGGAATGCGTCCTGAAAATGCCCTACGCTAATGCATGCGAATCGGAAGGCATTGCACTTCATGTGCTATGCAAAAGACTTGCACCAATTGACGCTATATTCATAGCGTTTGGACTCTCAGTGTTTTCACCTAGCGATACCAGCCTGCGTGTGTTGAGGTCTGCAGCTGATTTCGCTTCCCTGGGACAGTGATTGGGGCGGCTAAGTAACGCGGTGTTGCTTGCAGGCGCTGTGGAGGGCGAGGTCCTGGAGGCCCCCGAGTCTGGAGGGCGGCACTGCGGAGCGGACGGCGGCTCAGGAGGCGAAGGTGAGTGGAGTCCTGGCGGAGCAGTCATGGGCACGCCGCGGGCTGCAGGGGTGGATGTTCATTCGATTTCAATGAAATCAATTCCAGTTTCACCAAAGACTACTAGACGTGCTCGTTGCGCCTGATAGGGTTCCAGTGGATTGGTCTGTCGTCTGTCTGGTTGCCTTTCTTCGCAGTATTGGCACTTCCCTTTGCCCTTTGCTAACTGTTTTGCACCCGACTTTGTGTCGCAGGCCCCGTCCCGGTGGAGACCCCGCAGCTGGTCATCAGCGGCACCTTCTCGCTGGCTGGCCCGGCCGGCGGTGCGGGGCAGGTGGAGCAGGCCTCGCGGCGGCAGCGAGGCGGGAAATCGCGGCTCGCGTACAAGTGCGGGGAGTGCGGCAAGAGTTTCCGGGCCGAGGCGGACCTGCGGAAGCACCTGGCGGGGCACTCCAAGGCGGGGCGGCACGCGTGCGGAGTGTGCGGCAAGCAGTGGCCTTGGGCTAAGGATCTGGAGAGGCACGCAAGGATCCACACCGGAGAGAGGCCATACCAGTGTGACGAGTGCGGGAAGAAGTTTATTCAGGATTCTGATCTTACAAGGCACAAGAGGATCCACACTGGAGAGAAGCCGTATGAGTGCGACGTGTGTGGAAAAGAGTTCAATCAGAGCGGAACCCTCACTTTGCACAAGAGGACTCATACTGGAGAGAAGCCGTATCCTTGTGCCTTATGCGGAAAGAAGTTTAACCGGCTTCATTCTCTTACTGTGCACAAGAGGATTCATTCTGGTGCGACGCCCTACGAGTGCAAGGTCTGCGCGAAAAAGTTCTCTAGTCCCGCAAATCTACGCCGCCACAAGGGCATTCATGCTGGACAGTAACCCAGGAATAAGCTGTGCCAGTGTGTCGTTTCTTGATGGATGTTAAGGCTTTGGAATGTGACGTGTGTAGAACGTGCTTGCCTCTGATATTTCAGTCTATGCTCGTGAAAGCTGTTGGCAAATAATTTTAGTTCAATTCTGCAAATTCTGCAATCTTGGTATAACTATTTTCACCCTTTCTTGTATGTTTGTGTCATTTAAACAATGTTCTTTAATGATAATTAGATTAGATAATCGTTGATAATAATCAGTTGAAATAATAAGTGCTTTTGGGTGGGTTATTCATTTGAAGCCGTTCAAATCAAACGCGTGCACTCGATCTCAGTTGTGATGTCCCTCGGCTTGACTTTACTCCTTTAATGTCTGTTCCCTTGCTAGAACCGCTGGTATGTTAAAGAGTTTATTAATATTTCTTGTTTTGTTTTCTTGCATTTTTTTGTCGGATAACCTAAATTAAAATCCAGATAACCCATATTAAAATCTGGGTCAAACAAAAACCAAATGTAATTTTCTTGTGAATTAACATTTCCGCTTTGTATCAGGTTTTACGGTTGACATTGTTTTAACCGTAATGGTTTTCCTAACAGTAAGTAACCGTGTCTTTCGGCATTACGTTGTTGTTTAACATCATATTACAATGTCGAAATAAGTTAAGTTTAGAAACAGGGGGTTTTGGTGAAAAATGCCATAATTGTGAGTTATTGTCACGGACCACTCCGGTGTGTAAATCATACCTCGACGTGTTCGCTAGTACCACAGAGTCCCGTCGTGCTGTGTTTTTGAATTTGTTCCAACCATTTTCGTCAAGTTTCTGCTGCTATTGCCGTTATTTCTTAGACTCCTGATTCTGTGTATTGTTTCAGGAGGGTAGAAAGATCGCCGACTTCCTTGCACACTTCGGTGGCTTTTTCCCAGCATGCGGCTCCCAGTGTTCAGTATTGCGCCGAGCCTTCAGTATTGTCCAGAGGAGTGCAGTTTAATTTGTACCTCATTATTCGAAGTTAATAAAATCTGATCATTCTCTGTCCCTTTCTTGTTAAGTAGCAATAAATGAGTTTGTTGCTCATCGGGTAGTTTTGCTGGGCAGGTGTTTTGCATGGCTTCTTGCATGGGTTGGTCGTGGCGTGTTCCTGTGGTTCGCTGGCCGAGTCTCTCCGTGTCCACGGCTTCCTGCGGCCCAGCCCGCCGCGAGGACTGGGAGACTCGCCCGGCGTTGGCCGCACGTTTTGGCTGGCTGGTTTCTGAAGTCCGCCTTGCTTGCAGGTTCCGTGAAGGCGGAGGACCTGGAGGCGCCTGGAGGACGCGACTGCGGAGCGGACGAGGACGCCGGCCCTGGGGACCAAGGTGGTCGGAGTGCACTGAAAAACCAAACGTGGTCTAGACCACACCAACTGGTGTGGTCAAATGGATGCCATTTTGACCACACCAGTTGGTGTCATCTAGACCACGTTTGGTGCGTTTGGTGTCGTCTAGACCACACTAAACGCGGCCAAACGTGGTCTGGACCACACCAACTGATGTGGTCAAAATGGCATCCATCTGACCACACCTGTGGTGTGGTCTTGACCACGTTTGGTTTTTCAGTGTGGCGACGCGTGGACCATCGCGGTGGGCACGCTTTCCTGCACAACTTGAGCAACCAGTCCATTTAGCTTTGCAATCTGGGCGTTGCTTTTCGCTGTTTTAACTTGAATTAATTTTTCCTCTGTGCGATGCTGCGCTGCGTGGTTGAACGGGAAACGTGTCTTGGCAAGGACGGCTCAGTAACGCGTTGTTGCTTGCAGGCGCCGTGGAGGGCGAGCACCTGGAGGCCCCCGAGTCTGGAGGGCGGCACTGCGGAGCGGACGGCGACTCTGGAGGCGAAGGTGAGTGGAGTCTTGGCGGAGCAGTCCGGGATGCCGCCTGCGGGGCGGAAGTACACTCTAAATGTCTAACAATGAAATTTGACCTGTGTTATTCGTATGTTACAGTGGATTCAGCGCAAGCATAATACGAAACAATATTTCTTCGTAATACGAATCTTTTCAGCTTTTTCATTGTAAGATACTTAGAAAAACCTTCGTAATTCGAAGGAAAACCACCTTTGTAATATGCTTGCGCCATTTTCTTCGTATTATTGGAATTTTCTTCGTAAGACATTAAGAGTGTAGATTTTAATTCGTTTTTCATTCCAGCTTCTTCAAAGAGTAGCAGACGAGCTCCTTGCCTGATGGGGCTCAGGTGGATTGGTCCTGCTGTCTGGTTGTCTTTCTGGGATTGGCGCTTGGCTTGTCCTTCGCTAACTATTCTGCTTCCCACTCGGTGTTGTAGGCCCCGTCCCGGCGGAGATCCCGCAGCTGGTCATCAGCGGCACCTTCTCGCTGGCTGGCCCGGCCGGCGGTGCGGGGCAGGTGGAGCAGGCCTCGCGGCGGCAGCGAGGCGGGAAGGCGCGGCTCGCGTCCAAGTGCGGGGAGTGCGGCAAGAGTTTCCGGGCCGAGGCGGACCTGCGGAAGCACCTGGCGGGGCACTCCAAGGCGGGGCGGCACGCGTGCGGAGTGTGCGGCAAGCAGTGGACTTCGGCTAAGGATCTGGAGAGGCACGCAAGGATCCACACCGGGGAGAAGCCTTACCAGTGTGAGGAGTGTGGGAAGAAGTTTAACCAGGAAGGCAATCTGACTGTGCACAAGAGGATTCATTCTGGAGAGAAGCTGTACCAGTGTGACGTGTGTGGGAAGGAGTTCAACCGTAGCGAAAATCTTACTGTGCACAAAAGGATCCACTCTGGAGAGAAGCCGTACGAGTGCGACGTGTGTGGGAAGAAGTTTACCCAGCTTGTTTCTCTTACTCTGCACAGGAGGATTCATTCTGGTGCGAAGCCCTTCGAGTGCAAGGTGTGCGCGAAGAAGTTCTCCGATGCCTCCAATCTACGCCGCCACAAGGGCATTCATGCCGGACAGTAAACCAGGGAAAAGCTGTGCCAGTGTGTCGTTTCTTGACGAATACTATGGCTTTGGAATGTGACGCGTGTAGAACGTTCTTTCCTCTGATATTTCAGTCCATTCTCGTGATGGCTATTAGCAAATAATTTCAGTTCCATTCTGGAAAGTTTGTATTTTTGGTAAAACTATTTCTGCACTTGTATGTTTGTGTCATCAAAATTGTGTGCGTTGATGATAATCAGTTATAATAACAAGTGCTTTCCTCTTGTCAAGACTTTTTTTGTGAAGGTTATTTGATTTAAGCTATTCAAATCAAACGCGTGTACTCGCTCTTAGTTGTGATAGCCCTCGGCTTGACTTGATGAATGACAGCATGTGGCAATTCCAAAGTATGTAAAGTTTAGGCGTATGAGCGTTTGGCGAAAGAAGCCATATTTGTGAATTTTTGTCATAGTCCACTTCGGTGTGCAAAACTTCTCTCTACGTGTTTTCGAGCACACCTAAGCACCGCCGTGGGAATCTGTTTCTACCGCTTTCATGATTTTAATTATTTTTTCTGCTCAATCTTTTTTTATTTTTTATTTATTTATTCACTTGGCCGCCCAGAGAGCAAAGCTCTGATAAGGGCGGGGTACAAAATTATGGGTGGTCGTAATGGTCAGGAGCAGTTGAACAGATACATTACAAGTTAACAGGAGATACAGGGTGACCCTCTTCTTAAAGGCAACTACATTTTTTGAGTTTTTTTATATTCTCTGGTAGACTATTGAAGATAGATATAGATTCATACAGCACACTGTGAAGACCATACTTCGTAGAGGTGGGAAATGCTCTTTTAATTTGGTTTTTATGTCTAGTGTTATGATCGTGAACTTCCATGCCACAATGAAGTTCAATACAGATTGTGCTTTATCTTATAAATCAGCATCGAGTTGGCGACAGCAATGTGGTGATCGATTGGTGGTACACTCGTTGTAATGTGCAGTTCTTTTGTAGGATAACGAGAATCAAGGTCAAATATAGATTTTAGGGCCCTTTTTTGAAGTACATATATAAGATCAAGATTACTAGAGTTGCAAGAGACCAAATTGAACCAAATACATAAAGTGTGAGTGTATTATTGCATAATACACCCCTTTTCAGATGACAGGTATAATACTTAAGCCTGAATCTTAACAAAAGCTATGTGTGTACCATACACACTTCTAGGGCGTGCTTTCAAGCACACTTCTGGGTGTTACTTCCTAAGCACGCACCTAGAAGTGTTACTTGAATGAGTACACACTTATAAGTTTACTTAGATATACATTGCAGGTGCATGCGCGGCATTAGGGAAAACGACTATCTCTATTCAAGTACACACTTCTAGGTGCGTGCTTAGGCCTGTACACACCTAGAAGTGCATGCTTGTAAGCACGCACCTAGAAGTGTGTACTGAGTACACACATAGATTTTGTGTGTTATTTTATTCATTTATTAGCCTCCTGTTTGTGAATTCTGTCTTGTATTTGTCTGATGCGGCCAGAAAGATGTTCCCTCTGAAATTTTATGCCATGCTCGGAACAACTTAAGTTCATAATTTTGGTTGTATACTCCTGTAAAGTCAGTTCTCTTGGTAGAACCGCCGTTAAGTTAAAGAGTGTATGAAGTCTTGTTCTTTTCTTGTTTTATTTTTTTGTGTCGGATGACAAAGAATTTCGTGATAAAGTCTGGGTCAATAACGAATTCAATTTTTCTTGTGATTAATGCTGTTTTTGGTAACGTTTTTATGGTTGAAGTTCGTTAAACCAAAGTTCCTTTCCTTACAGTAAGTAAGGGTGTCTGTTGTCTTCACTTTGTTGTTCAACATCGTGAGAATGCCGACATAAATTTCAACGTAGGATGTTTGGATGAAAGAAGCCATTACTGTGTGTTTCGTCACGGACCTCTCCGGTGTGAAGAACATTTCTCGACGTGTTCGCGAGTACAACAGAGTACTGTCGTGCTGTACTTCAGAATTTGTTCCAGCCCTTTACATGCCGTCAATTTTTGCTGCTTTTGCCATTATTTCTTAGACTCCTGTATTATATTTGTGTGCTGTTTCAGGACCAGGGCTGTGCGAGGGTAGAAAGATCGTCGACTTACTTGCTCACTTCGGCGGCTTCTTCCCAGCATGTGCTTCCCACTGTTAAGCGAGCCCTGAGTAGTGTACAGAGCAGTGCAGTATAATGTGTACTTCATAATTTGATGTTAATAAAAGTCTGATAATTTGCTGTCCGTTTCTTGTTTAGTACATACCAATAACTGAGTATTCAATTACAGCTTATGGTAGTTTTGCTGGGCAGGTGTTTTGCATGGCTTCTGGCATGGGTTGGCCGTGGCGTGTTCCTGTGGTTCGCTGGCCGAGTCTCTCCGTTCCACGCCTTCCTGCGGCCCAGCCCGCCGCGAGGACTGGGAAACTCGCCCGGCGTTGGCCGCACGTTTTGGCTGGCTGGTTTCTGAAGTCCGCCTTGCTTGCAGGTTCTGTGAAGGCGGAGGACCTGGAGGCGCCTGGAGGACGCGACTGCGGAGCGGACGAGGACGCCGGCCCTGGGGACCAAGGTGGGTGGAGTGGCGACGCGTGGACCGCCGCGGCGGGCGGAACGCTGGCACGCTAGCTTGCACTTCTTGGGCAAACAGTTGACCGTTGCTTTCCACTGATTCAATTGAGTCAATTTGTAGCGTTTCCATCGCAACGGAGCACGGTTAAACGGGAAACTCAGCTGCGCACCGTATCCGTGTGACTCGTGCAAACTTCGAATTTCGGTTGGAACCTATGTGGTCCTATGTGGAACTCGGTCGCTGGTCAGGCAGTGTAGAGCGCAAGGTCAGAGAATTGCAGCGGCTTTTACTTTCATTTGTAGAGGGTTGGTTAGTCAACGCGCCAAATTTCTGCGACGAACCCATTCCAAACGAGGCAGGCCGTGAATTTTTAGCGTACCCCCACTGCAAATCCAAAGGTGCTCACTAAAAAGTTCCTATCCCAATTTCGCTCCTAGCAGTGCTAATTTAGCACTTCACTAGTGCGAACTCGTCAAATCACACTCAGCAGTGCAATAACTGCCTCTTTGCACTTCTAAGTGCAAAAATGGACCAAAAAGTGCTAAGTTGTTGAATGAGAGCACGTATAGGTGCTAAAATGTTTCACCCGTAGTAAGTGCTAAATTTCTTGCCCCTGATTGGTCTGCATGCAGCGTATACACACTGTTCACACTTACAGAAAAATAACTTATCCCGCCTACCCGAATTGGGGAAGTCGCAAACCTGTTTTGGGTGGGAAATGATCTCAACCCATTAAGGAAGCAAGTGTACCCAATTTGGTTACCGCGGTTTGGGTTTGGTAACCCAGTTTGGTAAACGGGGTTACCCGTATTGCACCATGGTACATTTTCAAGTTTTGACTGAATTTTTAAAGTGGGCCAAATTGAGATTCCTTAACAGAAATGGATTTGTCCCGACAAGGCAAACAAAAAGTGTCAACACATGTCATAGGTTCAAATGAGAAATGAAAAAGTTATTCAACTTATAATAGACAAAAATGGCCAAATCAGCATTAGAAGTTCAATTACTTTTTCATTTCCTATCTGAACCTATGACATGTGTTGACATTTTTTTGTTTGTCCTGTCGAGACGAATCCATTTCTGTAAACCAAAGTCAACTTTGACAATTTTTAAAATTCACTGTGACAAATCTGTGCCCCTTCAGGGATATTGTAAAGTAAAATTTAGATGTCAAAAAAATACGATTTCAAGAAATCCTAGGAGTCACGAAGTCAATTTGGGTAGGAGTGTGGGGAAAGCAAAAAAGTTATGTAAAAGGTAGGGCTCAAGAGTGGCTACGAATGGCAGTGGTACCGATGTGGTCTATGTGCCACCCGTCAAAATTTAACCTTGGCAATAAAGAGAAACCAAAATGCCGGGAAATTCGA